AGGCTCAACCAGCCTGTTCGAAACACACCCAACACATCCTAAAACTCAGATATACGGAATCTAAAGGATGACAACAAGACATACAACCACCAACTCCACGAAACCTACGACCGGAACACTGTACATAAACGGGACAAACCCAGGATCGCTATAGTAGCGCCACTGAAGGAGAAGAACAGGGACGTCGGTAGCAGCTCTGGAGAAGAACACATGGAAGGGTGCGTGGTAAAGAAAGAAATTGAGTGTGTTTTTAGTTTCGTCAATAAACAAAACACACAGCACTTGCGTTTTGTTTTGAGAGGGAGAGAGAAGAGATAGAGATTGATAGTGAAACAGATTTAAGATTATTAGTGATGCAAATATATTTCTCATTAATAATTTTTTAATTGGTGACAAAAAAAAATTCTTATCAAAAGTTTCAAAATTTTGGTGTCATCCAAAAAAATTAGCGGGAAAAATTTCGGTGATGAAACATAATGTTTTTCTCACCTAAAAAGATGCATTTATTGATGGAAATAAATTTCATCACTTATTATTTTTATTTTTTTATTATACATGACAAAATTTATAATTCCTCATGAATTATTCTTATTTAGTGACGAAATTTGTTTTCTTCATTAATTTTTGTCACAACAGAAAAAGAGCAAAGAGAAATCATGTACCAAATCGGCGAGCAGAAAAGATGGGGCGGTTACCGGCAAGGCTACTAGTGGCGGCGGCGACCGGCAAGGCTAATAGAGGCAACGACAATGGCGATTGGTGTGGTGGAGAGAGATGATAAACAAAAACAGAGAGAGATGATAAACATGAAAAGGGTAAAAAAATTAATACTTTTTTTTATTATTATTGTCGTTCAATATATCAAAATTTTTCCACCAAAATTGGTGACAACATTATTTCCTCATCAAAAGATCTCAAAAATATTTAAAAAAATTGGTGACGAAAATATATTCCTCACAAATAATTTTATATTTAGTGACAAATTTTTTTCTCACTAGAAGTCCCAAAATTTTAGCGCCACCCAAAAAAATTAGCAGGAAAATTTTTGGTGACGAAACTTAATTTTTCCTCACCTAAAATGAAGTATTTATTGAAGAAAATAAATTTCGTCACCTATCATTTTTATTTTTTTATTATATGTGACAAAATTTATAAATTCCTCACGAATTATTTTTATTTAGTGACGAAATTTATTTTCTTCACTAGTTTTCGTTACCATAGATTACTTTTGTTGTAGTAATTTCAACTGGTATGCTTTGGTTTTTTCGAATGAAGAAATTAAAGTATGTTGTTGAAGATGTTTATGCATCTTTTCTGATTGGAACCAAGGTTCTTGGCATGCTTTAAATTTCATCTTCTTCCATCTAGTTGTGTATTTTGTTGGTCACGCTCAAATGCTTTAAGTGTCACTGTAGACACCCCATTTTTAACCGACCTTAAGACTCAGACGTCACCAATTGAGCGCTTGGTGATGTTGCATATCGTGCTCGTTCAGAAGTCTCAGAGTCGCGGCCATGAGCCCTGCCTCCGGATTTCCGAACCCTCTTCTGTGCCTTGTCTCGGTTTGCGAACCAGACTCGATTTTCTCTGTTTCTTTTCCTAAGGGGAGGGAGAGGTCCCGTAGACCATCTCTCAGTGGCCGTGGGCTACATTTGGTGGCCGTAGGCCATTTTGCCCATTTCGGAGCCCGGTTTTCGGTTTTTCGGGACCGTTGGCCGTGTGCCTCGGTTCGGGACCGCTTAACCATCTCCATTTGCTCTAAATTTTGGCATACATCTCATTTTCTCCCTTTCAAGGGACACTGGGGTCTGAGAAACCCACTTCGTGGCCGAATGCCACTTTCGGTGCTTAACAGCCCATTTTCGGGACCCCGAACTGCGTGTTTTGGCCCCCGAACATTCGTTTTGCATCGATTTTCGTTCATTTTTGGCAGGTGCCTCTGTTTCATCACCAGGAAGGTCACTGGAGGGTGGGAGGCCAGCAATTATCTTAGCAACCAGTTACATTCCATTTTCGCCCTCCGGCACCTGTTTTTCGCACTTCCGAGCCAATGTTGAACACCTTGGGGCCACTTTCTTCAACCCCAAACCACATATTTGTGTTGTACACACATGGGAGGATCCTAATATCATATGGCCGGCCAGAAATTCCATTTGAACCTTTTGAACCCCTCCTCAAAATGGCTTGTTCTCTCTCCTGTTTTAGAGTTTCCAAATTCGAACCACAGGGTTGTGAAGAGGAGACCTGGGAGGCCACCAATATGTGGTGGCCGGCGCCACTAAAAGTTTGTTGGATTTTAATATTACAATTTTAGTTTTTATTTATTTATTTATAATTAATTTTTATCTTTTAACATCACACTTAATAGTTAAAAAGCTTACCATCAATTTCATACCTCAAGAATGAGGTATTTTTGTCCACATAAAAGAAGGGCCTAGCTGTGGACTGGATTGTTGGACCCGTGGGGCCCACCATGGATTTTATTTCAATGATTCAAATCGTTCAATGTGCAAACCTCGTCGAGTAATTTATGTTGGAACAATCTTCTATGTAAATAAAATAAATTGAAACTAAATCAAACAAAATAAAATAAAAACTTACAGAATTTATTTTGTCGAACCAAATGAAAAATAAAAGA